TTTCCACAGACGCTTTTTCACCTGTCCATGGCGAAGTAAGGAACAGAACGCCGGCGAGTCTGGAAGGGCTTTCGAGATGCGCGGGGAAGGTGCGTGGACACTGTACTTTCCGGTTTAGGGTTTGGGTTTAGGAATAGGGTTTCGGGGAATCGGCTTGCCGGTTTGGGCATTGGGTTTGGGAGCTAGGCAAGTATATAGGTAGACGCACAGATCTATGAGGTTACAGATGATAGATATACAGATCCCTACACCCTAAACCCTAAACCCCAAAACCCTAAACCCTAAGCCCCAAACCCTAAACCCTCAGCCCCAAACCCTAAACCCTCAAGAAAGAAATAAATAGAAATTGCTTACTGTTGGCCATTCGGAAACCTATTTTTCAGTCGAGATACAACCTTTCCCTTTTCTATTTCCATCCCAAGGGCAAGCCCAGCCCAGCCCAACCCCCAGCCCAGCCCATCCCCACCCAGCCCAGCCCGGCCCACCCAGCCCAGCCCAACCGCCCCCGCCCACCTATTCCCTAAACCCTAAACCCTAAATCCTAAACCCTGATCAGGTTTCAGTCAAAACCTTCAGTCCACCCTCCAGCCCCAGCCCAGCCCACCCACAGCCCAGCCCACATCTCTTCCAAAAACAAGTTTCAGTCAGCCCAGCACCCAGCATCTCTTCCAAAAGCAAGGTTCAGTCAGAAAATCGCGGGGGGTTTGGGCCACCTCCAGCCAACCAGCCCAAGCCACCCAAGCCTCAGCGCCAGCCCAGCCCACCCACAGCCTAGCCCAGTTTCAGCCCAGCCCCAAGAAAGGTTTGGGGTTTAGGGTTTAGGGTTTAGGGCCCCGCGCCAATTCCAAAATCAAGCTTCAGTCAGAAAAGCTTTCGGCGTCAAAACTTTCAGCCCAGACCAGCCCCAGCCCAAAGTTTCAGAGCATCGTGGAGTAAAAACGCCACAGCCCCGGGCCCAGCTCCCCAGCTCAGCCCAGCTCCCACTGTGGTTTAGGGTTTTAGGGTCTAGGGTTTAGGGTTTAGGGTCTAGGGTTTTAGGGGTTTAGGGTTTAGGGTTTTAGGGGTTCAGGGTTTAGGGTTTAGGGTTTTAGGGTTTTTATGGTTTAGAGTTTAGGCTCCCAGCCCCATCCCCCCACCCAACATTTCCGAAATCAGGTATCACAAGGAATACCCGCCCAAAACTTACGGTCAAAACTTAAGCTCAAAACTTTCGCTCAAAAACTTTCGTTCAAAACTTATTGGCACCCAAACCCTCACCAATTTCTATAAACCCTTAGCCCCAAACCCTAAACCCTAAACCCTAAACCCATAGCCTTAAACCCTAAACCCTAAACCCAAAGGCCCAAGCCCTTAACCCCAAACCCTGAAGCCTAAGCCCCAAGCCCTAAGCGGATCAGTCCTCAAGATCCAGGACTGAGGGCAATGGTGACGCAAGCCACGGAGAACTTGGAGAACCGCCGTGACAGCCTTAGCCTTCCTTCAGGGATAGGGCAGCGGGTTTCAGGGTTTCAGGGTCCCAGAGTTTTAGGGTTTCAGAGTTTAGGCTTTTAGGGTTCAGGGTTTCAGGGCCCAAGAAGAAGGTTAAACCCTAAACCCAACACACTAAATTCAAGCCCTAAATCCCATGGCCGGCTTTACATTCCCCTTATGCGACTTACTTCAATCTACCATGCCGTTCTTTGTTGTAGGAGTTTGAACACATTCGTTATTCAAACAGACCGCGCAACCAAATCGTAGGTTGTAGCACGTTACGGTGTAGATAGTAAGGAAAGCCCTGATCAAAGCACCGCCACCAAATTCTCTAAAATCTCATATTTCTCGACACATTACTCGAAATTTCTCGACACCTTACGAAATCCCAAACCTTAAAGCCCAAACCCTAACCCACAAATTCTTGACTTCAAGAATCCTGACCCCACACCGTAAGTTCTAAACCTTAAAGATTAATGCCTGAATCCTAAACCCTAGACCCTAAACTCCAAACGCTAAGCCCTAAACCCAAAGTCCTACACGCTAAACCCTAAGCCCTAAACCCTAGACCCCAAACCTTAAGCCCTAAACCCTAAACCCTAAACCCTAAGCCCTAAACCCTAGACCCCAAACCCTAAGCCCTAAACCCTAAACCCTAAACCTGAAACCCTAAATGCTAGACCCTGAACCCTCAACCCTAAACCCTAAACCCTAAACCCTGAACCCTAGACCCTAGACCCTAAACCCTAAATTCTAGACCCTAAACCCTGAACCCTAAACCCTAAACCCCAAACCACGGTTTAGGGTTTAGGGTTTAGGGTTTAGGGTTTAGGGTTTAGGGTTGAGCGCTTCGAGGTGACAGCCGCGTGGTCCCGAACCCGGAGATCCACCGCCTCCTGGAGAAGATCAAGGAGCAGGACGGCGGTTTAAGGGGTTTAGGGTTTAGGGTTTAGGGTTCAGGGTTCAGGGTTTAGGGCTAAGCTATGGGTTTAGGGTTTTAGGGTTTAGGGTCTAGGGTTTAGGGCTTAAGGTTTAAAGCTTAGGGTTTAGGGTTTTGGGTTTGGGGTTCAGGGTTTAGGGTGTAGGGGTTGAGGCTTTGGGGCTATGGGTTTAGGATTTAGGAAACAGGGTTAGGATTAAAGGTTTAGGGCAGTTTAGGGTTTAGGGCTATAGGTTTCGGGTTTGCGGCTCTTTAGGGTTTAGGGTTTAGGGTTTAGGGTTTAGGGTTTAGGGTTTAGGGTTTAGGGTTTAGGGCTTCGAACGTAGGGTTCAGGGTTTAGGGAACATGTATGTATGGATGTTTGTATGTACATATAACATATGTATATAGAAACCCCAAACCCTAAAACCTGAACCCTAAACCCTAAACCCGAGCAGGACACTGCCTCCCAGATGAACTTGCCAGCAATCGAGAAGCTAGGGTGTTCAGTAGTATCCTTTTTTGCTTTTTTGGGTATTGGTTCCTAAGGCAATAAACCCTAAACCCTAAACCCTAAACCCTAAACCCTAAACCTGAAACCCACGTCCTGAACCCTAAACCCCCTAAACCCTAAACCCTAAACCCTAAAAGCCCACCAACCCAAAAAAGTATATACTTTTCCCGGTTGGTTACTGAACAGCTCAGGAAGGGCTTCTGGCCGCAGTTCCGCCTCCAATGCCAGCGTCCCTGGGCTTGACATGGGTAGTTCTCTAAGTTAGGGTCCCTTTTAGGGTCCTTTTCATAAAGGTGCCGTATTATATTGGGGGCCTAAAAAGGGGACCCTAATTTAGAGAACTACCCACATGCAAGAATCCATCTTTCTTTATGTGTGTGTACATACACGAACTGTTTTCGTACATATATATATATACACACCTACATATACATCTACATCTACATCTACATTTACATATACATAAACATGCATAAACGTTCACATATGCATGTACATGTACATGTACATGTATGATGTACATATACATATACATCATACAAATACAGACATGCATGCATGCATACATGCATACATACATCTGTTTATGTATTACATTATATTACATTGTATTGCATTATAACATAATGTATTGTATATTACTTCATGTTATTATATTGTATGGTTTCATATTATATCATATAGTATTATATTGTATCACAATATGTTATGTTATGTTACATTTTTTATGTTACATTATATTAGTTCATATCATATTTATTACTTCATATCAGGGTATGTTATATCAAACTATGTTATATCATATGATATTATATTATATTGTGGTATGTAATGTTATGCTAGGCTATATTCTATCTTACATTATCATGTTATATCATATTACGTCGTATGATATCATATTAGATTGGGTCATATAATCTTATATTATATATACACATACATAAATATATATATATATATATATAATATACGTATGCTCGCCCCACCCCCCAGATCTACGTCTGCAGGTTTACAGGTTATGGATTTCCTGATTTCCGTCTTTCTGCAGGACATAGGTTTCCATATTCCCAGATTTGCACGCCCTAAATTTCCAGAGATTCCAGATTTGCACGTCCTAAGTTTTCCAGATGCCAGATTTCAAGAAATTTGCTCCTCGCAACTCTGGAATCTGGAAACTTAGGGCGTGGAAATCTGGAATCTAGAATCTCTAGAAACTTGGGGCGTGCGCATCTGGAATCTGGAACCTTGAGTCCTGCGGCCTGTCAATCTGGAATCTGGAAGCCTGGGGCGTGTAACAGCATGAACATCAACCGCAGCCAGAGCGAGCATCATGAGCATCAATCGGTTTCGGGGCTGGTGCCTAAAGCAAAACCGCCCGTTCCGTTCAGTTCCCTTCCAACCAAAGTTTTAAGCCACTGAGTGCTTATCAAAAGGTCTAGTGAAAAGGAACATGTGATGGGCGCGCAGCTGTGCACAATCAAGTGTGACTCCAGGCCTACTGATCTGTTGCAGTACACAAAGCCATGTCGAATTTCCAATTTGACTTGTAACGGATTCCTATGAAGGAAATCAGGAACCTACTAGTAGAAGAATAACCTTTAAAATACATTATATAATACCCCGTCTGTATACTTTCAAGAAGACAACTCTAGGTAATTCCATAAAAGAATATATCTTCTGCACCCTGTGCATACCTTACCGAAACGAACTTGGTAGATGGGTTTTCGTGTGAGGGTATCTGTGCATGTGTGTAAGGCCTTCCTATAATATAGCACAAGGGACATGTCACATTATAAACAACGGTTCCTGCCATATATATCTATATGTATATGTATGTGTACATACATATCTATATGTATATGTATATGTGTATGTGTATGTATATGTATATGTATATGTGTATGTGTATGTGTATATATGTATATGTATATGTATCTGTGTATGTATATGTGTATTTGTATGTGTATTTGTATGTATATGTATATGCATATGTATATATGTATATGTACATTTTTATTTAAAGGGCTCGCAACAGATATCCGCATATGTACATATGTACACATGTTTTTTTATGCACACCGACATGTGTGTATCTAGAATGGGGAAGTTCCGCAACAGCGATCCCAAAAGCCAGGTCTCGTCGGAGCAGTTTGGTTCGAATGCTTCATTTCCGTGGTGATCGTGTTGAACTCGGCACTGATGGGCATCGAGAGCCAGTGCCTGCGCCCTTGTTGAGGAACTTGTTTCGGTTACCGTACTGTTGGGGAGGGGGGTCGGAATAAGCAGGGATACCATGCGCTAGTCTTGGTACAATTATCGCAGAATATCGCCAAAACCTATTCTAATTGTTAAGGCCCCATAGAAACGTGAAAACCAAAGGGTTCGACAGGGTTTCAGAGTTCCGTGACAAGAATGCAGGTTGGCCTTAAATGGCCAAGAACTGTCGAACGCCGGTGCTGCCGAGATAGTCTTTCTGATCATCTATACTGCAGAGATCGTTCTCCGCGTGATAGCACAGCAGTGGGCTTGTCTGAGGGATTGGTGGTTTCTCTTCGATTTTTCCTTAGTGCTCTCTGCCATAACAGAACAGTTGGTGTTTGCTTTTACCGGGGAGTCGGCAGACACGATCATGATCCTTCGGCTTTTGCGCTTGATCCGACTAGTCCGGAGTTTCCGCATGATCAAGCAGATTCGATCGGTTTGGCGGCTTGTTTATGGGCTGGTGACCTGTGGTGAGACCATGTGCTCCACCTTTGCCTTACTTGGCTTGGTCATCTACGTCTTTGGCGTGCTTGGTGTCGAGGTCATCGCAGGCAACTCGGAACTCCTGTCTAATTCCAGGACAGCCAGTATCATCACAAACCATTTTTCTTCCCTGGGCATGACCATGGCGACGCTGACACAGTTCGTTACCATGGACTCCATTGCTGCAGTCTACACGCCACTCACTTTGGAACAGCCCTGGCTGCGTCTGGGTCTTGATGAGGAAGCTAGCTTAAGTTACTTTTATGAGGAAAGCATATGAGCAATGCATAGGTAAATAGATTACTTGACAAGCCCCTGTACCCTAAACCCTAAACCCTGCCGCAAACCCTATAACCGCTTTATAGCTCCACGATGCCTTGCCTTATTGTCAGGCTTCTTTACTTCCTGCCTCTCGGGGCCATCGTGTCGATAGCCCTCATGAACTTGATCACCGCTGTTTTAGTGGAAGGGGCACTCGAGAGTGCTCGACAAGACCGTGAGGAGGAGCGGAAGATGGACAGCATCACCACGAAGCAAATGGTGCCGCAGATCGTGGCCCCTGGGCCGCTCTCATAACCGTAAGATGTTTTAGGGTTTGGGGTTTACGGTTTAGCCCTGAAGACCAAAAACAGCCTTGAAGTTGGGTGCGGTGTATTTCTGGAGAAGGAACCCCTCCACACAACCTCTGAACCCTACACCCCCGTGCTCCGACCCCATCAAAACCCGGCATAAAACGTTTATAGAACCCTTTTCGAATGCTTGTAGAGTTTAGGGTTTGGGGTTTAGGGTTTAGGGTTTAGTCCTTGTAAGGCCTTTCGAGAAGCCTTGTCAAACCCTTAACCCTGAAAAGACCACCAAGAAGAGCCCAGAACCTTAAACCCTAACAACTCTAAACCCCACACCCTAAACCCTAAACCCCTAAACCCCTAAACCCTAAACGCCTCAGACCCCAAGAAAAGCGCAGAAGGCCATCTTCGATCAGATCGACTTGGACGGGGATGGCGAGCATCTAGGTCACCAAAGAGGTCTCATTTGCTCGTGGCTCTTAGTTTTGGGGTTTCCTCGTCAAGTTTGGGCAACTGGAAAAAGGAACCCCACACCCTAAACCCGAACACCTGCACCCTAAAACCTACACCCTAAACCCTAAAGCCTACACCCTAAACCCTAAAGCCTACACCCTAAACCCTAAAGCCTAAGCCATCAACTCCAAACCCTGAGCAGTAAAGAGGTAATGTAGGGGCCTAAATACTTACCAATACTATTTTTGGGGTTTAGGGTTTAGGGTTTAGGGTCCTTATTACGGTTATAGTATAATATACAACAAAACTAATTATTAAGGCCCCTACACAACAAATCCCGAATAGAACCCTTGCAGATCCCTTTAAAGGAACCCTTTGAAGGAACCCCACAACCCTAAACCCTAAACCCATAGCCCTAAACCCGAAACCCCAAGACCTAAACCCTAAACCCCAAACCCTAAACCCCAAACCCTAAACCCTAAACCCGAAACCCTAAACCCGAAACCCTCAACCCGAAACCCAGGCGTCTGGCTTGCAGCGA